TCAGTACACCCAACAGGAAGGATAGAAACATAGAATCGTTTAGGTTGGAAATGACCTTTAAGATCATTGAGTCCAACAGTTAACCCAGCACTGGCAAGTCCGCCACTAAACCATGTCTCTAAGCACCTAATCTACGTGTGGTATAGATAAATACATGCAGGGATCTCTAAATAACTCCAGGGACGGTGACTCAACCACTTCCCTGGGCAGCCTGTTCCACTTTAATCAAATTAAAACACAGTATAAAATATATGAAATAATAAAAGAAGATAAAGGAGAACTACGCTAATACAAATGTGTACTGTTTCTATAAAAGGGAGATATAAATAAGATGTAGAATAAAATTCAGAAATTATCACTTTCATGGCCTTTAACAGGTCTCATTAGGTATTTAGCCAAAAATTAGTAGTAAGGGATATTTTAAAACATGAACTTCTAACAAAGAACAAAGATAGTGACATTTCTTCTAAAGCAAGGAAATTTGTTTTTGTAGTAACGAAATTTCTAGAATACCCACTGTGAGATGACAGTTCAGTTTCTTTCTTAGCCTGTACAAGGTCAAATCCCATCTTCTCAGTTCCCCAGACTGCATTCTGAGCAGCAGGAGGTACATCAGTTTGAAGCAAAGGTACTTGTTTCTTTGTTAAGATGCTATACAAGTTTTATCCAAACATCCTTTTACATAAAACTCATGCGAGTTTGACCTAGGGGCTATAACTAAGCTCCCTCCTTTCAGGAGGGATCATCAGTAAGTGTTTGGATCATGAAGCTGTGTCACACACTTTTATGTGCATGAAGTCCCTGTCTTCTAACCAGTCATCCCCAGACAATCTATGAGTTCTTCATGAAAAGGCCATGAGTGACAAAAGAGAAGGGTATAGCAGTTTATTTATCAGCCCTAAATCTTCTTCCTGAGCTCTCAAAACATTATTGATTAGAAGGTTAGCAATGTCTCCCACTTCCACAGCTGTTTCATCATGGAAAGAAAGAATAAGGCTGCTGTACTTAGAAAAAAAAAAAATCTGAACTCTTTCTTTGGAAGATGATTTTAGGCTGTGAATGGGAAATAACAGAAGGGCCTTTCTGCTGCCTGTAATCAGATACGATAAACGCAAGAAAGGAGCAGCATTTGAGATTTTTCTTCATGCTTTACATTTTGATTGCTAACTAAAGGGACCTTTTGGATGCTACTCTGAAGGAGCTAACTCTGTTAAATGTCTTTATGGGGAATTTAGAGTCCTACCTCAGGTTCTGAAGTTCACTGCCAGATCAGCTCCATAACACATACTAAGAGTTAGGTACCAGGTGCTTTAATAAAATTGGCCCTAGGTGACTAATGTACGCAACCAGAATGAATCAGTAGCAGAAGAATTGAAAGAGCTCGAATTTTCTGAGTTTGATGCTCCTCACAGCAACAGTCCATGAAATTTATGGAAGAGACTCATCGTTCTCTGTAATTTTTATAACCATATCAGCAGCCAGACCTTGTCAGCTCGTTGTTCTTGCAAAAGGAAATTCATATGGTAATATCCAGGCTAACTCCTCCGTGAGTAGAAACCACATATATAAGGATTCATGTTAACATCTAGAACAGAAGGAAGGCCTTTTTAGGCATTATAAATATCAGCACTCATCACTGTACACAAGTCGATAATTAGAGTAATTATTCCAAATTAGCAGCTGCAAACCCTACAGATGGGAATTTCAGGGGCTGGTAACTGTTGTAAGAAAGCATTTCTTCAAGCTGCAAAGCCTTTCCATATTTTGGAAGATGTATATTCAAAGACCCTCATTCCACGATGTTAAACATTTTTGTTAATATTGCAAAATAAAAATCTTTCCTGCACTAGTATAATGCTTCTGCTTTTCTTTAAAACTATTTTTGTTGGGTCTGAGATGGCTTGGATTTGGAAAGACTTTTCCAAGTACTTAACCTATCAACTCAAGTAAATGAAGAACGAGGCTGAACTGGGACTCATGTTTTGCTTCTGTTCTCAGTCCATGAGGAAAAACAATGTCAAGTGCCCTTCTGTTGGCTTTCGAATATGGCAAAAAGACTCCGACTGTTCTCCAAAACTCTGCATGAAACCTTCTAAGAGAAGACATTGTCAAACTTGTTCACTAGGTTCCAGAAGCATTTTCCCTGTGTTCATAATATTGTGCTCCTTTGAGTGGCTGAAGGGAAAAAAAACAGCCAATCAAACAAACCACATATTTTAGTTGCGAACAATGTTTTTGCAACCATAAAGGCTTCTCTGATAGCCAACAAGTGGATCTGATTAGAAAAGTTTTCTCGGTGCCTATGTGTGTACCACGAGTACATCACAAGCACAAATGGAGCAGGCCTTCTTCAGTTTTTAGCTTTGGTCTTTAGCTTTTATGTGAATTCATTTAACTTTTGAATACAGAAAGCAAAAGAAATGTAATCAGCAGAAACAGTAAGGCATATAACTGTAAGATTTGTCCTTATCACAGTGAAGAAGCTTAACTTTTTAGATACTTTAATGTAAAAAATCAGTCATTCCTATCTTTTAAAGTAAGATTTCAACTTCAATCAATAAATACGCCTGTGTTTACTTATTTAAATCCAGTCCTTATCTAGTTATTTGAACATGGAATTTCAGACAAAATAAAGTTGAGGAAGTAATAATTTTCTGCATTTGAGTAAAAGGTTATTGATCCATGTATTTTTAAACTTTCTATTTAATTATCTTTGAGGTAAAATGAAGGGAAAAGTTTCAAGCCAAAATAATTATTCTATGAAAAAGTTTTGAGTTGTTTGAAAAAAAAATGAATAGTAAGACTGAATGTGATAATTCAGCTTTAGTGCTGAAAATTGAACAGTATATCTTGTAGTTGTCCTATGTTGATGACAATAAATGCTTTTTCAACTTTTGGATTTTGCTTTTAGCCATAAAGAATAATTAAAAGTGAGAGTATGTTTGTTTGATATCAACTAATAAGATAGCTCTCTAATTCGGACTTTTGCAGTTAGTTGTATTGCCAGTTGTAGATTTAAAAACGCTTAGGAAAATATATTTATTCTTTGTACTTTAGGAGACTCACTATGACTACTGCAACTACATGTAAAAACCTTTTAGGTCTCCTATAATCTCAAAAAACCTTCCTGCAATATTAATTTCATACATACTAGGTCCTAGAAAAGAAATGAAAATGATGTATGACATTTGCAGGCTTCAAGTTTGGCAATATTTTTGATGCTCCCTTTCCAATCACCATGCAAAGCTGAATAATGTGAAAAGTTTGTTTCCTTGCATGATCTAACCCATATTTCATTTAGATTCACGCTCTGTCCTAGTACGCTGTATAAGAATATGACTCATAATGTTTTTCTCTGATATTTATCTCTGACTTTTTTCTAATCTGTGCAATCTATTTCATCTTTTCTTATCTGACTTCATTTTCTGTCTTTTTTTTTTTTTTTCTGTCCTGAGCTTGTTTCTTTAATTTAATATCTCTATTTTTACTTGTTCACTCCCTTTTAAAACTTTGTTTCCCCCTTAATCCCTTTTTGGGACTCAAAGCACCAGGTCTATTCACCTGGTAAGTGTGGCTAATTCATTTATCTCAAAAGGGCAGTAAAGATGACAGGCAGATCATGTTAGTTATTTAAATCCAATCAACAAGACTGCTGAAACCAATCGGAGCATTTGCTTCAGCTCTGCAGTGAACTCTGTCTAGAGACTCTAAATATGTTTGACTTAAACATCTTTATTAACATCCTGCTTTACAGAAACTCCTAAATATATATTTAACTGGAATTTCAGATTTATAGTATAATAGTAAATAATGCCATTATACTGCTTAATATATATGAAGTCATTATGTTGATAAAGGATTTGATGCTGACAAGTGCATCAACCCTGGTCCACTTATGAACTTTGTCACATCCTTCTTTTTAACCGTGAATCCTTATAATGTATTTTAGAGAGTTGCTTATATCCTTTAAGTTAAGTAAATGTTCAAGTGTGTTTCTGGGTTAGAACTAAAGGACTCAGCACCTCGGAAGATTAAACAAAAAAACAAAACAAAACCAACAAAAAAACAACAAAAACAAACAAACAAAAAGGAAAAACAACAACAACAAAAACAAACAAAACCAACAAACAAACAAAAAACAACCAAACAACCAAACAAAAAAAAGAAAGTGATACTGGCAAAGACAGGCTTGTTGAGTTTATCCATGAGTCTTAAAACAAGGCTTATTTCATTTTGGATTGGAAAATCCAGTCTTGCTCAGTTCTATGGTGAACTGAGACATATCTGTCCACCAGGTGTGGATTATCTGACTACCAATCTTACTATTTGGAAAAATCACCTCAAGTGCATAAAAGCAGCTGCAATTACATGTATTGATTAACTGGTTGCATTACTGGTACATTACAATCTCTATGAACTATTTTGCAGTTTCTAAATAAGAAAAAAGACAAATTACCACTTTTGTTTTTTCCCCACAGAAGTTTGCCCTAAATCACAATCCTATCCATTTATGACAAGATCACAGTTTAGTTTAGCTTAAATATGACTTTCACCTTCCTGAAAGGCCTCCAAAGCCCCATATAAGGAGTATTGGTAATAAACTCTGAAGTGCTCAGCTTTTAATGAGTTTTAGATCTGAGACACCTGATTAACTTACTGTTATCAGCTGAGAATCTGCATGCAAACTTTTAAGAGGTTAAGCCAAGCTTCTTCCTGCAATTTAGAGCATGTCTGCAAATAGATATTGCAGCTCAGCTCACAATCCATGACTTGGTTGTTCCTTGGCTTCCAGCTTTTATAAACTGAAAATTTCCAACTTTCAAGTCAGAATTAAATGGTCAAATCATCTAGGGACCTTAGAAATTTCTTTATAAGTGATCTGTTTCTGAAGAATAAAAAATTTATTACTTGTCTCTTTAAAATGAAAAAATGAAGGAAGTACTTAAATATATTAAAAGAATAAAGCAGAATCCATATATGTGTTTTATGGTCTCTATTAGGTACCTCAGGATGAATGGGCAGGATACCCGGCTGGTGGGAAAGATGAAGAGATCCCCTGCAGAAGAATGAGAAGTGGGAGCTATATTAAGGCCATGGGAGATGAAGAAAGTGGAGACTCTGATACTAGCCCCAAGACATCACCAAAATTAACGGTTCGACCGGAGTCATTATTAAAATCCATTGGACAACGACCCCTGGGAGATCATCCAAAGTAAGCTTTGCTATACCATGTTATACACCTTTCTGAAAGCTGTTATGACTTGGGTAATTTTCCTTTGGGTTTTACTGGCAGTGGTCAGCATCCCTAATAAAAAATGATCTGTACTTAGAAAGCTACTTGCGTGGCTTCATTTTAAATTAGCTACAGTTTCTTGTGATTACTGGATGAAAAACTGCCATCTTCCTCCATCCATGAAATAAAACTGTTATGGTTACTGAAGGAAATACATACATATTTTTGTCAAAAGTTCAAAATTCTGAACTTTTCTTCCCTAGGATTGTTTTATAAGTCTTTGTTATTTCATTGCTTTCTCTGAAGCAGAAAATACACTCTATTCTATACAAAATATAATAGTATTGTACCGTGTATTTGGCATCTTACACCTTCTTTATCAGTACAACGCTTTATGTATCAGCTATACTGTATCATATTGATTTAAACACATTGTAGAAGACTTCGTTTGACTGGGTTACTTTTCATGCATACTACCTACAATATAGCCTATTAAATAGCTAAAGCAAATCTTAAAACTATAAGGAAATATGTAGCTTTATATGTTTTCCAATAGATCTTTGTTTTTATCTCTTTTTTTATCCTTTCAATATATCATTTTATAAGTAAACTGTAAGTATATTTATGAGGAGAGTTTCAAAGTAGTAGCCTGATTTAAAATCTGTAGCTTCTATTAATGTAACTAGGCATTTCTCATGACTTAGAAAATTGATCTTTTTGTCTGGGTCATAAACTGAAGAAATTAAGAGTGAAACCTTTAACCAAAGGGTTTTTGTTGTAGGTAGGTAATACCGTGTATAGTACACTATATAGTATACACCTTTTCATAAAATAAAATAAAACAAAACAAAACAAAAGCCTTAGGTAAAAATCCTTTGGGGTTAATAAAATTGAATTATTTAGCTTGCAATCTGCAAGAAAACCACCAACTTTTGCTGTTATTGAAGAGAAGAGTTTACAACTTTATTTATCATATAGCTTGGTCAACATATCTGTAGGCTTAATTCAGGTACAAAACCAAAGGCACCTGTTACCATGAGCTGCTGTAAGATTTCTGAGACATCATGAAACAAGATATACAGATCTCTGCTCTTGATTGGCAACTAAAATACAAGTCTCTGCTCTTGACTGGCAACTAAAATACCTTGTGGCCTCTCAAAGGGGGCCAGAGACCTATGTTTAGGCCACCGAGACAAATTCTGAATGTGAATCTGCAGGATTCGTTAGAATATTTTATCTGTTGAGGAAACCTGGCCTGTAACAAAAGTACTACTGGTCTGAGTACAGAAACCTGACCATGGACACTGAGAAGGTTTTGTAGAGGTCCCTGGCAAACATGTCCCCTGCCTCTATTAGCACTGTCGCCACCACTGCCTGGCTGTGTTCTGGGCATTGGTGTATGCCAGGTATCATTCCCAGAGACAGTTTAGTTGCAGCCATCCCAGTTTTGAAGGGTATATCTTATCTGTTCTAGTACAACAAAAATCTTTTCCCAGAGACCATTCTAAATTTCCAGATACATTCTATGCTGTTCTTTGTTTTCAGCTTTGGTTGGACCACCCACAAGGGAATCGGGGTAGCAGCACAAATTTTCCAGTGAGTGGCAGCTCTTGGTTCCTGCCCTAGATCTCTACAGCTTACAAACAGGTCCAGACAGCAATTAAACACACATATTCAAGCAAGAAATATATTTCAAGGAAAAAGTATTCCTGATCTGTTAAATCCTGAGGGCGGATGGTTATTCATGGGCCAATACCAAATGTTGCGTCTTCTGTCAGTTTTCCATGTATTGCAAATACACCACTCAAAATATAGTAGATTAAAAGAGGGGTGCAATGTTGATGCATGTGCTGGGGTTGACAGCTGTGCCTGTTCATGACCCCGAAGGATTTCATGGCATAGTTACCATTAACCACAGCTGGAAAAGGAGGAAGCTTTTTGTAATACTATGAAATATTATTAGGGGCTCTGTTGAGAATTTGTCACTATCACTGCACCAGGAATAATTGAGCAGCCAGTCTGCTACTGACAGATATTTTTTAAGTCCTCAGTTTTTCCTTAAACAGAAGGACAGCACCTTGAACCTGCCAGCCTAACATACATGGGTTTTTCCAGTGAACTTCAAGCAGAAATGTGACACACATTCTTGTTCTTGTATTTTTTTCTTGAAAAAAATCTGCACATGTCAGCAATCCTAAAGCAGAAAATTTCTTGTCTCACAGAAATACAAAGTGCTGATCCTAAACCTGGGTTTTCACCACAACCCATCTCCTCCCGTATATTTCTGTCTCCCTGTCACTGTGGTTACCTTCTGTGTCTGGCAGATTTCTATGAAGGATGTAGCAATGGATAATGGTTACAGAGCCTTCCTTGCTCCTCCAGCATGGCTCAGTAATCCCCACTGCATGCTGAGTACCACTGATCATGCTACTGAGCCAGAAGCCAGGGCTTTGAACAGCATTCCTGCATGTATAGCAGGGCTGAATAGCATTTCTGGCATGTGTTATGAGAAATTACATAATTCAAGATGTCAGCTGCATTATCTGGCTTTTTAGTTTGTTTACCCAGATGGAGGGAGCTAGTGCACAGAAATAAAATGGGGTTTTAATTCTCTTAGTCCTTCACTTGGGTGGCAGAGTAGCTCAGAACTGGGATCTGCCAGACAGATCATCAGTAAACCTGAAATAAAAGCTGAATATTGATAGTTTTGGCAATATAAAAACATGCATTGGCTGCAAAACAAATGTAGATAGATTTCATATGAATAAACCTAGTTTTCTATCACTATCCTGAATAGGATAAGACAAAATTAGAACAGCCTTCGCTTAACCTTCAACAGATGTTTGACATGTGTGCAACTTTCTCCTTTGAGTTTTATCAGGCATCTTTGCAAGATTTTTTTTTTTCCCATTTAGATTCTGTTTCTGCTTAGACAAAAGTAAGTGCTACTTTGTTGGTTTGTGTTGCTAGAAGATTCATCAAATTGAACATTAAACGTTTATAAACAATAAATGTGCATATTTTTATCTGAAAAACTAACATACAAATAGGTAAATGTAACTGATATAATACAAGAATTAAAATTCTGAAATAATTTTTTTTTAAGTTGCTTTCGGAAAGGAGTATATTTTACTCTGAGTGAAAAAAAAGAAGTGCAGAGTCTGCCACTGCTGGTTTTATACAGCTGACAGAAACAGGTCATAGACCCAACTACTGCCATATGATCTCTGTCAAACTAGGCTAGCACAGCCAGCATGGTCGCCAGCCTGCTTCCAGCCTAGGACACATGGCCCACCTCTGGATAGTGCCCAGGCATGTTCCAGGGATTAACTCTGTGGGATGCAGCCACCCTCTCTGTAGGATGAGAAAGCTTAACCATACAGGTCAGTTGGCCAAAGGGTCAGGTAATGGACATGGCTTATTTCTGAGTAGAGCTATAGCATAAGGGGCTCAGTTTTTTTTTCTGGATTTTTCAAAAATTAAATGTGCCTAAATATGTAGATTATTCACTGAAGGGGGCCTCTGGTGGTCTAGTGGTTAGGGTACAGGACTCTCACCGCTGCGACCCGGGTTCGATTCCCAGCCCCCCGGGCAGATGGAGCTCATTAGCCCTGTGAGGCAATCCATCTAAGAGAAGGTCACTCCCAGCCCCCCGGGCAGATGGAGCTCATTAGCCCTGTGAGGCAATCCATCTAAGAGAAGGTCACTCTAAACAAACCTACGTCCTGAGACCCTCACTGCCACTGTCCAAGCTTGCTCGGCCCCGGCAGATGAA